GGCCCATGGCGAGCACCCCCTCGGTGTTTCGATCACCGCATGACTCATGGCAACAGAATAAGCCCAACACCACGTATGTGGCGTCATGGCTTAAACATGCGTGTTTACACCAGGATGACTGCCTGCCACCCAGAAGATGCAACAGGATGGCAGACCTGTCCCTCCAGCCACCCATGGGAGACACAGGTGCTACTCTAGCCACCAAGAATCACAGAAACTCTCAGGGCAAATAAGCACAGAAATCCCTAAATGCCTTTTTCCCTGCACTAAAAAAATTAGACCATTCCAGTATTTCTGATTTAACATGGCTGATTTGAGATTCATATATCAGGGAGAAAAAAGGGACAGATCTCTTGCCAACTGCTACAATGGAAATAAAATAGCAAAACTTTACAAAAAGCCCAAATCAGAAATACATTGTAAATATAATTAAAGGTACATAATGCCCTGCCTATCAATTTGCATAAGTGATCTTTTCATTTTCAGTGAAAATTATAGGCATAGCTATTCTCAATAAATGTGTAATTTGGATGGAGAAAAGCCCAGAGCTAGCGTAAAATTCATCTCTACCAGTTGGTGTTTAGCTGTTTCTAAAATGAAATAGAGCAGAAACAATCACAGAGCTCCCAGAAAGTGAGCGGGTCCAAAGAGGTAGCAAATAAAAAGGAAACACCTGCAAAGCCCACAGCGTCCAGCCACCTCGGAGGATGTTCTGATTCCAGTAGATTGGGTCCACTTTAGGAAGCCAAAAGTCTTTCTCTTTCTGTGTCAAAATATCCTTCATTGCCTAGAGCTAAGGATATCAGTTCACGTCTACGACTCAAAAGGCAAGGACCACAAAGAGAATAATGGCTAAGAAGGTCAAGGCTTTTCTTAAATTTCATTATGTATTTTATTTTTCTGGTTCTGTTATAAACCCCAATTTCCGATACTTCCGAGAGCAGCTTAAGTGTCCAAAAAGCTGGGCTGGCCGCGAGCACCTTGGTGGCAGCTGTGTCATCATACTGTCCTCTGGGGAGGAGAGGGAGCAATGGCAGGGGGACATCCACACCTGTTGAACTCCTTCTATGGGCTGGTATTGGGTGAAGCCCTTTAAAATCCATTGCCTTGCTTAAAGGGCAGGACCCCTCTGGGGTAAATAATTATTATCTCCATGTCACAGATGAGAAAAATGAAACTTGGAAAACTAAGTCACTTCCCCAGAATCTCACCACTAAGACATGGTTCCTGCTACGTAGTCGAAGTTAACAAACGTTTGCTCAATGAAAGCAAGAATATATAGTTCCATAAGTTAAAAATAAAAATACAGAGGCTGTCAGATTCCATAAGCAGATGTATTTGTTTGCCAGAGGAAAACTACGGCCCAGTGCCCGAGGATCCTGACACGGGGCACACTGAGGGCCTGGCTGAAGGAGGGGAAGTACCCAGGGCCAAATCCTCACATCTGAGCAGGCACAGGAAGCCCAAGGCAACAGCAAACGCCTCTGGGAAGCAGGGTCTGGACCCAAACTCAGGGCAGGCGGGGGAGGGGCCCCACGAGCAGTGAGCACAGAGTCTGCTCATGAGGGGGTGTCTGAGCCATACTCGGGACGTCCAGGCGGGGGCAAAGGCCACAGCGGCACAGGTGGCATGGGGGACCCCACTGGTCACTTTGGGAAAGAAGGTGACCAGTATTCCCTCAGAGCTGAGAGAAAAAGGCATTTGCCTCTGGACGGGCACAGGTCCCTGGACACAAGGCTCAGCGAACAGAGTTCAGATCAGGAACTTCTGGGCAGTGCACAAACCGTACACCTGTACACGGCAGCCCTGAAGGTAGGCAGGTAGCTGGAGAATCTGTATCAGAACGTCTGGACCCCAGACGCCGCCTGTCTCCTGGTCCAGCTCCGTGTGGATCGTGACCTCCTGCCGACACAAGCAGGTCTCACCGAGCATCCTACCCCTCTGCTTCCCTGGACAGAGGCCTCCTCTCCATCTCCCACCTGAAGCCTGAACAAGGCAGGTGCAGCCTACTGGGAGGGGCAGGACATCCCCTCCTTTCTAGGAGCTTCTCTCTTCTCTGCTTCACGGCCCTGCCCTCCCTCCTCTCCCTGGACCGCAATCCAGAAATAAAATAAGATCACACGTGTCCTCTGTCTCACACTCTGCTTCCTGGGGAGCAGAGGTAGATCGCTAAGAGAGTAAATGGAAGCCCCCTCCCCAGGAAAATGCACATGCCAACAAACTGAGGCATGGCGTCTCCGTGGTTCGTGGCTCCCCTGAAGGCCAGGCTGAGACCTAGGTACGAGTTTCGGTTTTGAAGTAAATGCACATTTCTTTCTCTTATCTGTGAAGACACTCCAGCACTTCTGACCCCAGGAGAGCTCAACATAGCACAGAGCACCCTCAACACAGCCACCAGAAGCTAAAACCAGACAGGGGTGAGGCAGCTCTCAGAGCCTCCTGGAGACCTGGATGGGGGTCTGAAGTGGATCTGAGACAGGACAGGGTGTTTCCGCCGCACTGCTCTGGCCCTTGACCAATCTCGGCTCACGTGGTCTTTTCCCCAAACTCCCTTGTATCTTAGCAAGTAGCATCAATGTTGTTCAATAAGATAGAAGTTTCATTACAAAACCTTCCATGGTCCAGAAGCCCACCCGGACCGCAGTTCCTCCAGCCCTGCTGCCGTGGCCGCTCCACGTGTGCAGACACCTGAACCACTGCACTGCTCCCCCCGACATCCCTACCACCTGGAATTTTGGTGGGTTTCTGTTTGCCAGAGACCTTGAAAGACCTGAAGGTTCTCCCTCGTCTCCCCTAAGGAGGGAAGAAGCAGCCCCCTGGCCACGTGCCTGCATCTATGAGGATGAGCTTTGAAGGGGCTGGAGGAAACCATTAGCCATCACTGGACACACAGCCAGTGCACCAGCCTTGGACACGCACGCTAATCGGTTTGACAACCTGTCAACTGAAAACCAGCAGTGGCATCCAAATGCCACCCAGAGAACCCCTGAGAGGCAGGTAGGCAGTTAGGTCTGCCTAGCACCCCTGCTCCGTGCAAAGGTGCTGCAGACAGACAGACGGGCTGGCTGCTTTTAACCCACTCCAGCTGCTCTGAATACTCCCTCCTCTTCACACCCCCATTGCAAAGGGAGCCACCAGTCCCTGCTTTTCCAGCGCCGCAAGCTGAGCCAGCGCCAGCAGCGGTATGCGTGGCCAGGAGCATGCTGGGAAATCAACTCCGGTGGAGCTACCTTCTGCCTGGTCTCAAATCTGAAAGACGACCAAAACCAGGTGCCTGGCAGACAGGTTCCCAAAATATCAGCCTCTGGTGTTAAAAGCGCCCTCCTGACATGTGCCTGATTAGGGGTGATGGATCTGGAAACTGCTACAATCAGGAAGCTAAAAAGATATTACAATGCTAGCATCACATTTCCAGTAAGCTGTGGGAGGGCGTTAAGTGGAAGGAGGCCGCAATAACGCTTCCCCGCGGTAAACAGTGACCTCAGAGGCTCAGGCCACACGGCACTGGCCCACTCGCTCGTTCTCCTAGATATTTATTCTATGAAGACACATTCATTGACATTTGTGGAAGCAGGAGGGTGGAGAGCAGGTTTTCAAACTGCTCTGCTAAAAGCCCGGAGCTCCCAAGGGGCTTTCATTCAACGAGTATGAACCGAGCGCCTACTACGTGCCGGCGCCGTTCCTGGTGCTGAAATACAGCAGCAAAGAGCTCAGTCCCTGTCCGCGTGGCGTTCAGCTTCTACTGGGAGAGAGGACACCAGACAAAATTAATAAGTAAAGTACGTATAAACTGAGAGCAATAAATACTGAGGAAAAGGGAATAAAGCAGGGAAGGGGTGAGGACAGCCAAAGCAGGAGGCTGGGGCTTTAGGTTCCCTGGGAAGGCTTCCGGGAGAAAGGGACATTCAAGTAAGGCTGTGAGACAAAAGGAGACCCTGGTGGTCCACCAGGGTAGGGGTGGGGGGAGAAGGAGGCAGAGCCAGGAACGTTGTAAGGCAGGTAAGAGCCCAGGGGAGGGAAGGGGATGGGGGCTGACCTGGAAAAAGCCAGTATTAGGAAGGGGAGGGAGGGCAGAGTGGGCTGTACCGGGGGACCAGATGCTTCAATCATGGTAGTCCTATTTTCATCTGTTCAAAAAACACTCATGTTCTACATCAGATTTTGTTTCGGAAAATCACTCACTGTCAAAGGGGGGCTGGGGGACAGTTTGAAAACGCCTTTCACCCGTGTGGTGTGAAAGGCTTTGGAACAAGGCAATGCTGGGTTTGATTCCCAGGTCAGTCACATGCGGCCTGAGTGTCCTGGAGCTCTGACTTGCAGCTGACCCTCCCTCTCTGCACGCCCAGCACAAGGAGGCTTGGGGAAAGAGCCCTTGGCACAGAGTCTGCAGCTTACCTGAGCTCAATGGACGGTTTCCCTGATCCTGTCTCTAGCACGGACAGCCTGGGCTTGAGGGACACACAGGCTGGGACCCACCTTCGAGGAACCACAGCCAGGAAGGAAGGTGAGATAGTACACACAGGACACAGTGAGAGGCAGCCTCAGGCCACAGCCGAGCTAGAGGTTTAACCTCCAGAAGCCACTGTTTTCAGCTACAGGGGCCAGGAGGAGGTGACTCATTAGGGAGGACATTGCAGGTGGAGGGGACGAGGCGCAGGTTTATCAAGCAGGGTGTGTTGGAGGATGCCAGGGAGACTTTGGTGAAGGTCCATCCTCGACAGCTGGAAAGGCTGTCGACGGACCGTAGTCAGATCACAGAGAGCCTCCAGCGCCAGGATGAGAGGGTGGTTTTTCGAAGGAAATGGGTCCTTGGAGGTTTTAAAGATGAGATACAACCATTAGGACCATTTAGACACAATGTATGGGATGGATGGCCAGAGGCAGCAGGAGACAGAGGGAAGACAGGGGCTGGGGTGCAACGCAGATGCAAGCGGCAGGAGCTCAGAGCCCTGGCGGGGCTTAGTTAACAGTCTGGGCGGCTGACTGAGAAACCTGCCCTGCCCTCTCCAGTTGTCAACTCGAGAGACAAGGCAATTGGAGGAGCAGAAATTGGGAAGTTTAAGAGGGACTTTGCTCAGTGATGTCGGAGGGGGAGGAGAGGAAGCAGGTCCAGAGACGACTGTCAGGGACTGACCCCTGGGGACACAGGGCCTGAGGGAGAGCGAGCTTCGGGGACACCCGGGACCCTGGAGATGGAAGAAGCAGAAAAGCCAAAGGTGCCTGGATACAAGGAAGATGGAGGGCCAACCCAATAGCCCAGAAGCTGGGTGGTTCAAACTGGCCCCAGGATCTTTCTGAGGGCAGCTTCAAGGGGGAGGATATCAAGGTAAATAGGAATGACAAACGTAGACTACTCATATCTGGTCGGCGGTCAAGAGAAGGGGCTGGGGTGATTTGGGAGAATTATAGGATTGATATTCAAGTTTTTTAGGTTAAAGATATTCTGTGTGCATCAGTAAACAGAAAGGAAAGTGATAGAGATTTGAGAGACCGAGGATGTGGTTAGAAGACTGGGAAAAGGCTATTTGACTCATTTAATCTGTGATAAAAGCCCAGAGGGTAGAGAAGATACCAGCACATGCCACCTGGCCAGAGAGCCGGGACACCAAGTGCCGTGCGCACCCACATGTGCACAGACAAGGGCAATCACCTCAGTCCTGAAAGTGGCCTCGGTGGTCAGTTGAGTGTGGCCACATCCTGTATGCTGACTTGCGTGGCTGCCCCCCTGCTTCCTCTGGGGCTCATCACCACTGTGGCACCTGCCAGGCGCTCTCTGCTGGGATCTTCACGGTTCCGTTTCTCCGAATGTGTTTCTCATCCCGACGCCCGTGGAGCCTGGCCCTGCCGCCTGCAGCGTGGTTGAGGCCCTCCCGCTGAGCCGCACCCCTCGGCCCTCCTTTGTAACGAGAACCCTTTCCCACTCGTCACGGTTGCATTCACGATGGAACACTTTGCAAACCTTTCTCTCCTCCGTAACATTTATGTTCTACCATCAGCTATAACCTCACGCAAAATCATTACAACAACCCAATCACCACGAATTCACAGCACCTCGAAGCCATGTCGCCTCGGCCATGCTTCTTCCTCTGAGGAAGAAAGAGATTTTCCTCCCAAGAGGTGGAGTCAGCCGAGCAGCGAGAACAGGATTTTGTGGAGAACCATCATGATTCTGTTACTTCTCCAGCCACAGAGCTTCCTGCCCGCCCGGGCGCAGGATAACCAGAGTGTGACACAGTGACAGGAGCCAAAGGAGGGGGATGCTGGTGAAGCATGGCGGGCACGGTGCACGGAGGGACGAGGGGCAGGCCGAGACCAGGCAGTGCGGAGGGGAGGGGACACTGAAGAGGGTGCCTTGGAGCGAGCGGGCTCCCACGGGAGGGCGAACAGCTAGCGGCCGGTGGCCGAGTGGGGACAGATGTGGGGACGGCGGGAAGGGGGCCAGGGGTGGGGAGGTCCTCGGCGTGGACGCCAAGGCTACAAAGAACGGAGGCAGGAAATGGGAGGGAACTGGACACAGAGCCACGGAACCAGCAAGCGGGAGGGGGCTGGGAGGCATGGGCAGGATGTCCACAGCGACACAGGTGACGAGAGTCCTCTGGCCCAGCGACCAGGATGACACCTGTGACACCCGTCAGGCCGGGGAGGAGACAGACAGACGGGGCTTGAGACCCTCCGAAAGGAAAGTGAAACGAGAAAGAGAAAAGAGAGAGCTAGGAACACACGGGAGGGAACGAAGAATCATAGGTGACCCAGCCTACACCTCTGCAGAGGATTTCATGGGACTTGAAGCATAAAGGTGAGAGCTGATTAGACAAAAGAGGAAGGGGCGTAGCTGAATTATTTTGAAGATGAAACGAGAAACCAGGCAAACGAAAACTTCCAACCCGAATCGCGTGAGCCCTCCTTGGCTGGACTCTGGGAAGCTGCCCAGAAGGAAGACAGGCCACAAAGGCCCAGCCGCTCTGGTCCACGGGGGGCGGTCAGGATGGCCAGGGCAGCCCCCGCAGGCACAGCCCAGAGCCCCACATTCATTCTTCTCGCCCCCCAACTTCCAGCACATCTGTCCTGCCCTTCGGGTGCCCATCCTTGGCCAAAACCATGGTGACAAGCGACGTCCGTGCAGCCTGACTGAAGGCCCCTGGGGGCTCCTGGTCATCCGGGCAGGTCTCAGCTCAGACATCACCTCCCCAGGACGGCCCCGCCCTCGCCCAGCGCCTGCACTGGGGCCCCCTGCCATGATCCTGCGTACCTGTCGGCAGGTCTCAGTCGGTGTCCCCGGCAGGAAGCCAGCTCCGCGAGGCCCAGCACCGCCCTGCACAGAGGGACTGATGTCAGCATGTCAGATGCAGGAACCACACAGGCCTCCAGGGCAGAGGCTGGGGCCACACACATCACAGGGGTCTCACTGTCACCCCGGGACGCCCCACTGCCACACGGAGAGCAGCCGGGGCCACCTCTCTGCCCGCAAGGTCTAGTCTGATAAAGTATTTAAAATGAGGACTGCCGAGCTCCCATGATTACCACTAAGAAAATGGTTTCCTCTTCCCTATTAACCACCAAAACAGAGTGGAAAATTATTCTCCCCTAGGAAGGTTTAGCGTTCAAGCAGAGATGTCTGCAGGCACGGCCCGGATCCACAGGCCCGTCGTCTCCTCCCTCCCAGGCTGCAGGCACCTCTGAGTCCTGAGCAAGGAGAGCAGCCCTGCAGTGCCACCACCAGGACGCCCGAGGAACTGCTCCGGGCCTGCACCCCAGGAAGGGCCCCAAAGCAGGGGGATTCCTGAACTTCTGGCAGAGAAAAAAACAGGCGCAAACCTGTGAGGGCCTCAGAGACCAGTGACCCTCCAGTTGGGGCACTTGACCAAAAGGGTAAAGCCAAGAACATGGTCTTCATTCCAGCTTTGTTTACAATCTGCATCTGTAAGGTCCCCTGCAGGCTCCAGCACAGCATCTCCAGGTGTGAAAAAGGAACAACATCAACCCCGCGGAGGATGCTGCAGGGAACTGGGCACAGGGACAGGATTCCACCAATGCAGAGCATTAGGCAAAAGATGTCAGACCGCCGGATCCACTTCTGGTTAGCAGAGTTTAGAAAGCTTCTACACACAAATGTCTAGACAGAGGGTAGGAAACGGATTAAAACATGTAGAATGCAAAGCAGAACTATCTCCCAAATCAAATCTTGAGGCGTGAAAAATGGGGTATTTCTCTTAGGTTGCCAAAAAATCCATTTTATATTGTCTGCTACAATAACACGTGCTTGAAAAGTTAGGATTAAAAAAAAAACAAACACCTTTTGCTTAGGGATGATCCTTCAAACAATTTGTCTATATTTTGACTGACTAAAAAAGGGGTATCAAGAAAATTCCAACATAAATTCCACAAAGATAATGAGTAAGGAAAAAAGCAAATATCCCAACTGAGAAACAGGCTAATATTACATAAGAAACATAACTGTATAAACATAATTTTTATAAGAAATAAAAATGGTAAGTATAAAAAATGAAAAATCTCAGTAATTAGAGAAATTCAAAACAAAATAACATTTCCCTATCAAGGAGGCATTAAAACAAAGAAAATCAATAACATTAAAGTTGATTCACTGGAAGGAAGATAAATTTGTATACCTTCTGGAGGGCAATTTGGCAATATTTACATAAATCCTTAAAAACCGACAGGATTTTTTAACAAATAATACAACTTATGGGAATTTATCTTATAGAAATAATTATAGCAGGAAAGAGCTGGCTGCAAGCATCATCTGTAAAAGGAAATTTGTAAAGAATCTGATGTCTACCACGAGGATTTATTAAATAAAACAGCTGTGTCTACTCAGCAGACAACTATGCAGCCATTACCGTGTGTCTAGTATCTGTATGTCCCCCAGACGTTATTGAAATATTACACAGGGAAAAAAGCTGGGTAACTAAAACAAACAAAAAAATGCACTTATGATCCAATCTGGCAACTCTATATACATTTATTTAAATACTCATCTACATATATATATGCAAAGGGACAGAAACAAGGCCCTCCCAGATGACGGCGGCTGTCTGTGCAGCTGAGACTGGGGGTAGTTTTAAATGTTTTCCCTTTTATTTTCTGAGGTTGCTACAATGAAACATATTGCTTAGGCAATACAAAAAAAACAAGAGTATTTCTTAATATTAAATTAAATTTAAAAAAAGAGGAAAATAAAATTCCAAAATAAACTCCCGAGAGTGGAAGCAGGAAGGAAGAGCCCCAGGCCCAGCACATTCCCGGACAGCAGGGGCCGCCATCCCCAGCCGACACCAAGTCTCCTCGTCCTGACTTGCCCAGCTCCATTGGAAGATGCGCTCCGAGGGAGGGCAGAAAAGCGGTGTTTCAGAAAACATCCCATGTTTCTTGAAGAACGTAAAAGGCAAAGATATTTAAATTGGGCTTCATGACACACCCATGTACCTGAAGTGAAAAAAACAAGTTCTACGTAGTTCCTAGTGGGGAGATGGGACCCCAAACCACTGGACCGAGACAAGAACCACATTTGGAATGGCCACAAGGGAGATCTGGCAAATTTTATTGAATTCAGGATCTATTTTCAGGATTCTATTGCAATACTTACTGCATAAAAAAGTGTTAAGAAATAGTGTGAAAAAATAACTGTAAAATGCAATACATATTATATAAACTCCAAAGGATTTTCCACGTGTTTCAATGCCACGAATTCAAGCATCTGAAGTCCTGCCTCCTCCAGCTCTCTTGGACCTGGGGCCATGGCATGTGCACGTCTGTGCACAGCTTAAACGGTGTATCTTCTCTCTCCCTCGTGCTTTGCCTTGTGGTACTTCACGTAATCACTATGCAGCTCCTTAAAGACGTCTCGGACCCCCGGCTGCAGCGAGGCCCGCAGGAACTGGATGTCGGGCTCAATGCACAGGTCCAGGATGAGGTAGATGCCCTCCTGCAGGAGGCCTTTCACCGCCGGATACAAGGTGACCTGGGTGAGGGGGACACACTCACTTCTCTGTGAGCGCAAACAGGCAGGTGCCAGACCCTTGAGGCTCTGACAAGGGATTCCAGCTTCTGCCACCAACTTGAGAAAAGACATTCCTTTTAAAATGCCATTTTGCTTGTAAGTGAAACAACTGACTATTCATAAACTTTTAAGTTTATATTTGGGGGAAACAGAGGCCAACTCAAGCAAACAAAAACCTGAGATGGAGTAAAACATCACGAAATCACAAGGGTACCTTTGCTATTCAGTGAATGATGCCTCTGCACTTACCAGAGGCATTTAAAAACTTGAATCTTTAGATTTAAAAAATCTTATGGTAGGACTTCCCTGGTAGCACAATGGTTTAGAACCCGCCTGCCAATGCAGGGGACACAAGTTCGAGCCCTGGTCCAGGAAGATTCCACATGCTGCGGAGCAACTAAGCCCGTGTGCCACAACTACTGAGCCTGTACTCTAGAGCCCACGAGCCACAACTACTGAGCCCACGTGCCACAACTACTGAGCCCACATGCCACAACTACTGAAGCCTGCATGCCTAGAGGCTGTACTCCTTAACAAGAGAAGCCACCACAATGAGAAGCCCGCACACCGTAACGAAGAGTAGCCCCCGCTCACCTCAACTAGAGAAAGCCCCTGTGCAGCAACAAAGACCCTACACAGCCTAAATAAATAAATAAATAAATTTATGGGAAAAGAAAAAATCTTATGGTAAGAGCCACCTGAACACTGTGTCATATTCTTCCTCGTGGCCAATCACATTGGAAGCTCTACTAACTATGGGATGAGGGCGGCAATGTTGCCACCTCTCCCCAGAGCAGGGCAGCTGGGCAGTGGCTCTGACGCTCTCCAACCGGATCCCTGATAGATCCCGTCACGTGGCTCAGTGTCAGACGTGACTTATAATTACCACTTCATAGATATTTTTACTTCTTCCAACAATAACACAATGGGCCCTAAATCCCTAACTGCCCCAGAATGGTTTAATCGGTCCCTGTGTCCAAAGATGCAAGTCTTCCTAAAAATCTGGGTTAACCAAAATCTGGGCCACAGCGGGAGGAGTGGCAGCCCAGCTCTGGCGTGCCTACATCGGCTACTGGCACAAACCTTGCAGGTCAGAGATTCAGGCTGGTATGTGGACACAGAGGCCAGGACGGCAGGCACTACTCACCCTGCCAGAGCCACCCAGGCTGCAGCCGGACCTGGGCAGGGCAGAGTCTGCCCACTGCGGCAGCTGTAGCCAGAAAGCAGCAGCAGGGTTCCGGCTGATAGGCCTGGCGTGTGGCCAGTTCTTCCTTAGTGTCCTGATGACCTAGGAGTTCATGCCTCTCTGCAGACATGCAGCTTCCAGAGAGGACACATTTTATTAACTAGGAGAAGCATGATTCACCAAGGCAACCTCCAGGAGACAGAGTCCTAAAGAGGAGATTTGTTCCTGCCCCTAAGACGATGCTGTTGTTCACAGATATGGTTATTTTCACACAGTAGCTCAAAAAACATCTGACAGATGATCATCTTAATTAAATTTTACTGTTTTATAGGTGATAAGAACATTCAAGGGCCACAGGAGGAATGGCTTGTCTGTGATTCCATACTAAGGTATTAGGGAGGGAAAGAAAAAATAAAACGGACAAACTGAAACCAGAAGTCCTTAACCTCACTAGCTGGGTGAGGGCTTGCTCATTCATTCACTGAATTCACCACTCACTAAACAAATAATTCCGTTTCCAAAGGCAAAAAGAGGCGCAGTAATTTCCCCAGTGGCAGCACTGAGGTCTGAACTGGGCATCTGAGTCCAAATGTCACAGCCCTTTAGCTGGTGTGTCTCCTTATGAAGTACAGCCCGGAGCATGGGGAGGGGGGAATGGGACAGCAAGGCCGGTAGTATCAGGACAACACAACCCCTTTGCATCTTTACGTTAGACAGCTTATTTGGAAAACAGGGGGAAAAAGTCAATTTCTACAACGTTACAGTCACTGGCCAACGAATGGAAACATCTCTAAGTTAACCTAAAAGGACCTTAGGCCAGGGGAATAGTGCAAACTATTTACTCTAAGCTATTTGATATAGAGGGACAGTTGTAAATCTGATCTACAGGTAAAAGAGAAGATAAAAGTGACCGTAACTTCCCCGACATGTCTCCAGGGTGACACATCTCTGCGTGGAAGGAACAAGGCCTGTAGGAGCAGCTGCCCCTCCTGCCCGAGGCCGTCTCACTGTCATCGGCCCCAACCACCGAAAGACCTTTACCTACGCCACCCGCTGCTGAAAAACTTGCCATCTAGCCTGTAATTAAACCTCAGCATGTCTTCCTGGTCTAGAAAGATTTATGGCTCTCTCAGTAGAAGCCTCTAATACATATGGAATACTTCCTTCATTCCCGATTTTAAAAACAAATAAGAGTTAAAACGTAGACTGTCCTGCCAGTGGATTCTGGGACGCAACAGCCTCAGATAATTCCCAATGCCTTTGGCCTTCAAGATTAAAATTAAAAAATAACAGATAAGCATAAATTAGACACGAATAATGAGGCTGGCAAACCAGAGACTTTTCATAAAGTAAATCTCAGAAGACTAATCAGTGACTTCAGGGTTCAAATCACAGCCTCCGCTCTTGGCCCTTGGGTAAGTGATATTGCCGTGTCTCATTTTGTTCTTCAGTGAAACAAAAAACCATGCCAGCTCTGACTTCCCTGGTGGCGCAGTGGTTAAGAATCCGCCTGCCAATGCAGGGGACATGGGTTCGAGCCCTGGTCTGGGACGATCCCACATGCCGCGGAGCAACTAAGCCCGTGCGCCACAACTACTGAGCCTGTGTGCCACAATTACTGAAGCCTGTGTACCTAGAGCCTGTGCTCCACAGCAAGAGAAGCCACCACAATGAGAAGCCCACGCACTGCAGCGAAGAGTAGCCCCCATTCACCACAACTCGAGAAAGCCTGTGCACAGCAACAAAGACCCAACCAGCCATAAATAAATAAAATAAATTTATTAAAAAAAGAAAATCATGCCAGCTCGTATTCCAGCAAAAGCTCACATATTAATGACTTGAGTGCTTGGGAAACAACAAGATTCTATAAAAATGTTAAATAATTGCAAGGAAACCAAACCCCAAGCCCATATCTCATTCAAATGACGACCTGCAGGGGCCCTTGTATGCGGCCCCAGTCCCTACACACCCCGCCCCCCGACCCGGCCAACCGTCCGCCCACGTGACGGCCATCTCCACTGGCTGAGGGATTGGGGCCGGGGCTGTGGAAACAACCTGAAGCGGGGTCAGGACGGAAGCTGAGGCCACACCAGGCTTTCTAAGGAAGCCCCTTCAGACGACCCTCCCTTGAGAAACGCCAACACCTCTAATGGAACACATTTAACCAGTGGCTCGCCACCATTCTTACGAGATTTACAAAGGGGGGTATTCTATTGAGAGCAAGATAAACGATGTAACTGTGTATCTATACCTGCACAAGGATAATACACCTGAACACACTACTTTAAGAGTGTGACGTTCCATTTAAACAAGTAAGACACGAAGTCTTGTAACGAACTTACTACACAGGTCACGCGGGGTCTTGTGGAACTGTGAAAATAGCACACTGACACTCCAGAGTGAGATCACTGTTGAAGAATGAATGAATTATCCAGAATACTAAGGCCAAAAGTCAGATTAATTGGGACCAGAGCGTTTAATCCAGTTGAACAAGTCTACCGGGATCTCCCCCAGGCCATCTGCCTGAGCGTTGGAGAGCGGCCCCGTGAGCCCCTGCTGCTGAGGGACCCCAGGATCCCTCTTTCTGCCTCCTGCTCTTGGACCGGGGTAACATTTCACCTCCCTCATGACCCCAGAGACTGAGCAAAACAGGCTCAGCGTTTGTGCCAGAGCAAGGAGAGACCTACCGGTGGCTGAGAGCCCCCGCGACCCGGGCACTGCCAGCGCCCTGTGTCTTCGTGCAGCCCGCACAGGGACCCTGCAGGGGCTGCAGCACACGCAGGACAGCCGCCACCGCACAGGACCGCCAGGCCCCACGGGTCGCTGGCCGCACAGCTGGGGGACCCTGCAACCGAGGACTGTGGGCTTACCTTCTGCGCCTCCATCACATACTGGGCCACCATAAAGGGGGAAAACACCCTGAACTCCTCGGCCCGCAGTGCCATGTGGCTGTACATCCTTTCCACGAGGCGGGCGCACTCCAGCACCACTGGCAGGTCCTCTGCGCTTCCTACAGAAGTAAAGAGTTTCCAAACCGATTAGCTCAAAAGCCGTGCGTTTTAACTCTTCTAATTTTACTCCTTCAACATAGCCCCAATTATTCAAACCTTCCTTTTTTTTTTTCCCCCAGACTCTTTCGTTGGCTCAATTTGAAGACAGAATTAGGGAGACAGGATGTGTCCAAATATTGATCTATATTACAAAAGGAAAGGCACTTACAATCCTCAACAGTCCATGGGTTTTTTAAGGATTGGACTAGAATAACCAAGATTTTAGGGTGAAATCTAGGATTGCTATTGTATTTAGAAAGGAAAATATGATTCTAAAGATAAGACGGCCTGATTATGTCTTTGCCTCGTTAAGTTTCAGAAATCATCTAGGATTTCTCCCTTATAGACAGGTATGAGACTCAACTACCATTACTAGACCTCTTGCTGGCTTCCCAGGTTTACTTCTGACTCCTAGTTCCTCCCACCCGAAAGTGCCAGGATCACCCAGGCCTTTACACACTCCTCTCCCAGGGATTCTAACAGCCTGAAGTGTCCCCGCGACCCAGGTTACATGCGCCCCGGCCCCCTCCAGCCAGGCTGTCACAGCAGTTGGGGAGGGACCCCAACTCAGCAGAGCAACCTCCCCGGTTTTCACTCAGCATAGTAATACACCGTTTTTATAAAATTCTAGAAAATGCAAACAAGCCTACGGCGACGAAAAACACATCAGTGGCTCCCTGGGGCTGGGGCTGGACCCCAAGAGGGCTCTTTCGGGGATGATGCAAATGCTCTGTGTTTTGACTGTTGGTGGTGCTTCCCCGCACGAATTTACCCATCAAAACTCATTAAAGGGGCTTCCCTGGTGGCGCAGTGGTTGAGAGTCTGCCTGCCGATGCAGGGGACACGGGTTCGTGCCCCGGTCCGGGAAGATCCCACGTGCCGTGGAGCGGCTGGGCCCGTGAGCCATGGCCGCTAAGCCTGCGCGTCCGGAGCCTGTGCTCCGCAACGGGAGAGGCCACAGCAGTGAGAAGCCCGTGTACCACACACACACACACAAAAAAACTCATTAAAGTATATACTGTAAACAGATGCAGTTTGTTACACGTAAGTTAGGCGTCAATGAACTTGACTTTTGGAATGCACAGTATAATATGCAAATTTCTAAATAATGAGACTCTCCCCCGAATTAGAAATTTAGCAAGAATCAACAAACCTCCAGGCTGGAAAACAAGCTGTACACATAATTTATGCGATTGTCATATGGCAGCTTGCTCCATTGGTAAACAAAACAACCTTGCTGAGATGCAGCAGGAACAGTGAGCTGCAGGAACTCTGCCCCCGTATAAGATGAGCAGTAAGCTGGCTCCACCACTGCCCGTTCCTCCTTCATCTCCCCGTTAAACTATGAGCTCTGTAAGGGCAAGGATGGAATTGTAGATGCTTTTATATCCCCAGTAAATAAGAGTAAATATTTCCTGAATCTAGATACTTTTTTTCTCCAGAAAAGAACTATTTCAATTAGGGGATGTTAAATGCATTCACTGCTGTGGATACAGTTAAAAAATGTCACAGTCTGAAATTTTTTTAATTGTTTACGTGTTCATTTGATGATCTGAATATTTCTCTTACGTAAACTCAACTGTGTGGTTTTATGTTCCGTAACATGTGTGGCCAGAGACACCTGTAAAATAAACACATTTGAAATCGGTATCTGATACTGTTACTCTGAATTACCTTTGTCTTTCTGCCGCCCTTCGCGTATAACTGAACACACCAGTCTATGAAAACAGTTCAAGAAAGAAGGGATGGCTTTCTGCATTACCTGCAATGATAGACAAAAGACTATGAAAATATGTAGGCAACAGTTTATTTCAAGATCTACTTTAAAGGAGTTCATATTTATTTCCTTCTTAACCTTACCTATCAGGACACTCAAAACAGTGTGGCAACTCCTTTTTGCCAGGATTTTCTAGGGAAATGCTCACCCTACTTACTTAACTCTTTTACATCCGTTTTCATGGTTCGGGGTGGGGCTTCCATGCTGCATAACTTTAGGAATCTAATGCAGCAATCCTAGTTTAGACTTTGCTGAATCTGTCTTTTACTCTGTTAGTGGTGCCTTCTGGAAATGGGTAGAAATAAATAACAAAACGTACAGTAGCCAGTGTATTCAAGTATAATTGCCACTTGAGAAAAAGATTACATAAAGCAAATCCATTTAAAATGAGAAACAAAACTTCTCATTTTTTAGCAATGAAAAGGCCTGGCTGGGACTTTATCTTGAAAAATGATATGAAAGTTATAAAACAGGCTTCTTCTTTTTTTTTTTTTTTGGCGGTACGCGGGCCTCTCACTGTTGTGGCCTCTCCCGTTGCGGAGCACAGGCTCCGGACGCGCAGGCTCAGCAGCCATGGCTCACGGGCCCAGCTGCTCCGCGGCACGTGGGACCCTCCCGGACCAGGGCACGAACCCGCGTCCCCTGCCTTGGCAGGCGGACTCTCAACCACTGCGCCAACAGGGAAGCCCAAAAGGCTTCTTTTACACTCAACCATCCTGAGATCATGATCAAAGCAATGCACTGTCCAATAAGGCAGCCATGAGCCACATGTGGCCACTGAAATGTTAATTAATTAATGTTAAAATTCAGTTCCTAGTCATACAATTCCACATTTTACGTAGTCAAGACACGTGTGGCCAACGGTTCCTGTGCTGGGTGGTGCAGATACGGAACACGCCCGCCCAGGAGAAGTTCTACTGGGCGGCACTGCTCTAAGGCTCAGGGTGAACGAGGAGTGAATCAAGTGTCGGGACTCTTTTCTTTGGTACAGTTTATCCAAGCAAAGTCTGGAGAGCATAACACCACATTCTTTATGTCAAGTTATCAGCTTCAGCAACATGTTCAGAAAGAGGTCATTTCTGCCAAAGAATTGCAGGGCGTCATCACATTTCCAGAGGCCCCGTCTTCCTCCTCTGCTATCACAGTGATTAAATGCACACAAATCCAGGGCCAGCCCATCTGAGTTCACACCCTGGCTTAATATGCAATCCCGGACAGAACACTGAACCTTTTCTGTGCCTGTTTCCTCATTTGCAAAGTGAGGATAATAACAGGCTGTCGTGAGGGTTAAATAAGTTAAAACACGTCAAGAGCTCAGAATGGCACCAGCTGCAGATTGCCCTGCTGGGGACCCTGGCTGGGCTCACTCTGTGCTGCTCCCTGCACATTTACCCAAGCTGATTCCAGCCGGGGGCCCGTATCAACCCCCATCCACCGCCCACACAGCCCAACGCGTGGGCCCCGCTCCCCTGAGTCTGCCCCGCGGGCAGTGAGTGTGAGCTGCCGTAAGTCACATCCTTCTTTACTGCAATACCGTGTCATTATCCTTGTCAATTCTCTCCTTTCATTAAATGGTCTAATTCTGCTCAATGGTCATTCCTCACTGGTTTTGCAGGAGATGCACACAGTTTTCCAACGTCACTTTCCTCAACTGCATGAAATCCTGAATCTTTTGCAAGATCTGCGGTGTCAGTTTGTAATTGATTGGTGTTGCATTTACATTCTACGGTCACACAAAAATCTAAGAATCAGCAGAGCTCTAACAAAGAGCCTCCCAAGATAGGCAGGGCCGAAGGCGATTCTTAAGTGGGGAGGACACTGGATGGAATGCTTAGTTTACCAGAGAATAAATTTTTTAAAAACTGCACTGCTGGCAGGTCTCCAACCGTAGAACATCAAAACACTTAAAAAATATTTGAACGTGCCTACGTATATGTGTATCTGTCCTATTTATAAGTTCCCACGCTTCCCACGTAGAGCAGAGGCACAAATGAACACCAGCCAAGGAAATCCAGTCTTGTAGCTAAAATTCAGACTCAGCTGGGTGACACTGGTCAAATCATTCAGCAGCTCTGAGCGTCGGTTTCTCTACCAATGAAATGGGATTGCCACCGACTACACAGACTTGCTGTAGGGGTGAAAGGAGACACACAGCAGACGTTCAATAAATGGTGGCTGAACTGGAATCTCTTCGACGGGGCATTTGCTCCTCGTCTCATTTTATTTAAAAAGCAGCACACTGTAAGACCGGAACTCAGGACGGCTCACTCCCTACATGCAACTGAATCATAAACCCGAGAGGTCTACGCCAGTGAGTGACATTTAAATATGTGATCTGCAAAAACAGAATAATTTCTAATGGGCTTCCAGAAACACCCAGGACACAGGCATGTTCCAAGTGTCAGGTCCAACACAGCCTGATGTGAAGGTCACATACTTCTGTGCTTGAGAAGCCGCCTGGGCCCTAGAAATTACTCGAAGCCGGAAGTTTGTTCCGCAAACCACTGTCCTTCCCACGCCGCCGCTCTTCTCGAGGATGCGTTTCCCTGCCCAGCGGGCGCCCTGTCCTCCTCACCTTCGGGTGACACTGCAGGATTGAGAAGAGCACGTTGTGGACCCGCGGGAAGATGTGCCCATACTCGGGGGGCCTCAGGGCGTCCAAGGGCACGGCCAGCAGGACGCCGAAGGCCAGGCCAACGTGGTGCGGGTTGCCGATGGCCCCCTCCCCCTGCCTCAGCAGCGCAGCCAGGACGTCCAAGATGGGCCCCACCAGTGCCGGCGCCACCGGCTGTTCCCGACAAGCTTCTCGGGTCTGCAGCTACAGGGCGAGGAACGAGGGACAGAAGATGAAGGCGATTCTCCGGAGAAACAGCCCCAAACCCAAAATGACTGAGGGAAGAACGTCCAGACCCCAAAGTGACCCGAGTGGTCACTGGGCAGTTCAGAGAGACAAGGAGACCAGCGTTCAACCCCCTGGGCGGCACCTACAAGGGACGTGGCCGTCTCGGTCCACACCCTCTGACGGATGCGCCTACCACGAAGAGAAGTAATTTCTCATAGAAGAGTTGATTCATCTACTTTCTCAGAATAAAAAAACTTCACATCACACACATAACAATATTCTCCCAAAAAGATCCTTGTTCTAAAATGTCTATAATTCAACTCCATCTGTTACATTTCATAAAGGACAGCTCTAGTTCAAGACAATCAATTATTGTTCTAAAGAATACAGAGCAGAGACTGAAGTTGAGGGGTGGCCCGAAGTCTTACCTGGGTACCCTGCGCGAGCCCACCTGTGACAGCCCTCCTCACACGGCCAGCTGTAAACAGCACCCCAGCTGAGGCCGTCTGGGGCCTCTCACAGTGATCATCTTTCCTGGGTGCCCTGGCTGTGCTGACGCTGTGCTATCCCCTTTAGAGTGACCTAAACGCCTAGCCTGGTGTTTATATCCACGTGGCCCTACTATGCGCTCGGCCAACACTGACCAGGCACTGCCCTGGGCCCTGTTCCCCCCTCCCCCCCTTCTTCCTGATGTTCCCCCTACATACACCTAAGGACAAATGGGCTTCGTCCACTAATGCAGATTCCCAGGGAAACAACAAAGCAACAAAACAAAAGATCAGAGAAGAAAGCAATGTCTATTCTCTAGACCCTTTTGCCCTGAGAATATGCTAACCCAAGGCAATGCTCTCACGTAGCACAAGCTATAATCAGGGTTGATAATGATGGTCAAATAGGCACTGCTCTTCCGAACCCAAGTCTGGGAATACTGACACCAGACATTTTTTTTTTTTTTTCTTTGCGGTACGTGGGCCTCTCACTGTTGTGGCCTCTCCCGTTGCGGAGCACAGGCTCCGGACGCGCAGGCTCAGCGGCCATGGCTCACAGGCCCAGCTGCTCCGCGGCACGTGGGATCTTCCCAGACCGGGGCACGAACCTGTGTCCCCTGCATTGGCAGGTTGACCCTCAACCACTGCGCCACCAGGGAAGCCCCCCCTCCACTTTCTTTTTTTTTTTTGACACCAGACTCTTTTGAGAGCAGGAACACAGACAGCGCCCACCGGAACCAGGCTTTTGTTCTAATGAAACAAAAAGTCATGTGACTACTGTGTATGTTCACATGTACCAAAATTTAACGTCTGCATGGGATTAACAATCGTCTATCTGCAACATTACTATCCTAGTCTAGACCCATTTTTTTCCTCACTGAATCGTCATTAAACACACATATTCCTACACGCGAATGAATGCACTAAACTGCCCACAGAATTTCGTGTGGACACAGAGAGGCCCGGGACTCCTTCTCCTGTCACCTAATTTAAATGGAAGCCTCCTGTGGGCACCATGTTCCTTCCATTACGGACCACGAATGCTTTCTGACGCCCAAGGGCCTTCACATCACATCTACTGATGACACTACGTGTGCAACCAGACAGAGGTGCTGCCTGGACACCCAGACAGAAAAGCAATGTGGTTACAGCCGTCTTCAGGACACGGCCCCGGAAACACACTCTGCATAATAAAACCAGAGCATGACAGAAGCAGAAGCGCCGCCCCGTCTGCACGTGAAAGGCAGGGGCAGGGGGACGCACGACCCAGAGGTACTCACCATTAGAGCCATGACCATCTGTGGGCACGCACGCCAGAACAAACTGGCCTTCTCGCCACCAAACGGGCAGTTCAAGAGCAACTTGACCAACGTCACAGCCGACAAAACAGCCTAGGGGACAAGGGAAAACACTCAGCAGTAGGAGGAACCAGCTCTCTCGGGAAGCCCAGCTCGGGAAGCAGGCTGGTCACTGGTGCTGTGACAAAGCAGAGCCCATTAGAGCCCTGTGCTGGGGCAGGGACGAGACCCAGCTTGAGTCAAGTGCTGAGCGTGGTGCCCTTCCCGTCACCTGCGGGAAGAAATGAACAAGGTGAGCAGACGGCAGCAAAGGAAGGGCCTTCTCTGTAGCGTCTCACTAAACCGAACACGTAAACGTGCCAGGACAGTGAAACACAGGAGGCCACGGCGATCTTATCAGAGGCCCGTCTCGTCAAGGTGGCGTCGGAAGAGGAGGCCGCTGTAACTCACCCACGAGAACGGCACGTGCCTAGGGGTGAAAGGAAACACGGACAACGTGCGACAAGTAGACCAGGTGCCGGGATGACAGGTGACGGTTTCCGACCATGGGAAGGGAGGGGAGGGGACTCAGTGACCCGTGCTGGGCATCTCTCAGCATCCGCTTTATCCATCGGCCTCTTCCTCCTGCCCCTAACGCTGCAGAGCCCACACCACGAAATCCTGGCTTCTGCCCTTTGCTCCCTCTGACCACAACCCACCCCCACCCGGCCCGAGCTCCGTGTGTCTCCCCACTGAGGGTCTGCTGGCTGGCGCCCCCATCCCCCATCTCCTGGCACTCACCTGTGCTCACTGCGCTGTGCACATACTATCCCCTCCCTGTCTCCATAGCAACGCCCCCCAGCCCCACCCAAAGCCTGTCCACCTCTGACCTCAGCTCAGCCTCACCTCCTCCACGACTCTCCTCTGACCATCTGACGGGCTTACGTAGAAGTTTATGGTTTGTCTCCCCTGGCTTGCTGAAGGGAAGCCCAGAGGCCTTCTCAAAGCTGAGCCCATCGTGCTGCACACGCACGGTGAAAACTTCCAGAGGGAGGAGGGTGGCAGCAGAGATGGGCCTCGTGTTCACCCAGAGGAGATGTAAGTCCTCCCTGCTGCCCCCAATCTGCTCTCTCCAGCTCTCCTCCCACCCAAAGCAAAACCCAGCTCCTGGGTGCCAATTATTACCAGCAGTCAAGAAGCCACTCATACGGCAGAGAAAGCTCAGAACCAAAAGGCCTGGGCCGCCACCCTGGGCCCAGACAGTGAGCTCCCAGCCTTCCTCTGCCTGTGCGAGCAGGGACAGCCTCTGGCCGGTCCGGCACTCAGGGCCGTTCAGGGGACCAAACTCGAGCATATCAGCTCCGTCCAGAGCCTCCCAGACGCACAGGCCTAGTGGGAGTGAGGGGCTTCGTTAGCAACTACCAGACAGACTAGGGGGCTAAGGACCAAAGGGCAGCTCGTCACCCTGAAAGAGCCTCAAATGGGACCCAGGCTACGTGACCGAACCAAGTAAAAGCGGAAGCACGATGTGGGAGGCCTCACACGATGGACGTGAACGGAACCTTTTACGGGTCAGTATGCAAGTACGGATTGACTCTGCACGTTTGTTTAGTTTCAGCGCTGACACCGCATTGCAAGTAACTTTTCCCGTTGAAGCCCGTATCACGTACGCGCTGCTGCGCAAGAGAGAAAGGAGCAACCCACCTGCAGATCTGCTCTCCACGTGTTACTGACGTCCAGTCCCTGGAGGATACTCTGCAGGGCCATCCGGAAGTCCTCTGTCGTCCCAACCTCTAACATTTGGGTGAACAAGGCTCCCAAATGAGGCTCTATCTCCTCAACTACCTGAACCGGAATCGCAGGATCTGCGAGGAAAACAAAACTGCTGTGATAGACAAGGGGCAGGTGAAATGGTGCACAGCTGCTAAAGGTCAGCATCTCAGGGACGCAGGAACGGTCACGGTGCAGGTCAAAATTGCAGGGCACATGCACAGCATGACACCACCCTCTCACACCCAGCACCTGTGCCCTGCCCATGGCACCTGTGCCCTGCCCGCAGTACCTGTGCCCTGCCCGCAGTACCTGTACCCTGCCCGCAGCACCTGTGCCCTGCCCGCAGCACCTGTACCCTGCCTGCAGCACCTCTACCCCGCCCATGGCACCTGTGCACTGCACCCGGCACCTGTGCCCTGCCTGCAGTACCTGTACCCTGCCTGCAGTACCTGTGCCCTGCCTGCAGTACCTGTGCCCTACCTGCAGTACCTGTGCCCGGCCTGCAGCACCTATACACTGCCCATGGCAACTGTGCCCTGCACCCGTCACCTGTGCCCTGCCCACGGCACCTGTGCCCTGCACCCGGCACCTGTGCCCTGCCCACGGCACCTGTGCCCTGCACCTGGCACCTGTGCCCTGCCCGTGGCACCTGTGCCCTGCCCGTGGCACCTGTGCCCTGCACCCGGCACCTGTGCCCTGCCCACGCACTTGTGCCCTGCCCGCGGCACCTGTGCCCTGCCTGCGGCACCTGTGCCCTGCCCACGGTACCTGTGCCCTGCCCGCGGTACCTGTGCCACCTGTGCCCTGCCCACGGCACCTGTGCCCTGCCCGCGGCACCTGTGCCCTGCCCACGGCACCTGTGCCCTGCACCCAGCCCGGAGAAAAGCCCGAGAGAATGAGGAGGAAGATGATGTTCAGCTGGGCTTGTCTCTGGACCATGAGAGACAGGTGACTGGCACTTTCTTTATACTCTTTTTCTACTTTGCTTATATTCTTTTATAAAATCAATAGGGGCACAGGGGTGGGGTGGTGCTTTAACACAGACGGGGATGTTGAAGAGATGGAAAGAACCCCAAGCTTGTGGGGACTGCCCGCTGCAGTCACCCAGTTGTTCCCACTTAATGCAGGACAGCCTTCTGAAGTAAACCCAGTGTCCCCAGGTTTCATCAGAGAGCCCACGGTTAGGGAGTTCAAGGCCCTTTACAATCTGACTCCAGAGTAACTTTCCAGCCCCGTTCCAGTCAGCAGACTATCCCACACTGCAGAAGACACTCCTACGCCCCAGTCTTTGCTTACAGGGGGCGGGTGGGACCAAGGCTTCGAGAGAGAACATCTAGGTCCAAGTGTTCCACAAACTGTAAGATCCTGGATGCAGGACCTCTCTGGGCCTCAATTTGCTCATCCGTGAAATGGGTAGAACAGCACCAACTCTTGCGGTTGGCAAATCAAAGAAAGGGCACCGCAAACTCCCATCCCTGGGAGGCTGAGTGTCGGCACTGCCACCTTCCCCGCCCTCCCTTCACCCACCTCCCATGGCGGAGGCCTCGCCTGCCTGCACAATCCACCGCTCTGGTCATTTCAGAGCCTTTCCTCACCCTGTGACTCAGGTAACTTGTGTGAATGTCTGTTTACTGAATTAGACAAGTCAAAATCAACAGCTCAGTCATCGCCAGAGGAGGACACAGTTCCACATGTATATGAAGCGTTTTTAAAACGGACGGGTTCTTATAATTGAACTGAGGCAGCTGATTCTCCTGTCAGAGAGCATTTCTTAAAAATGCTCATTTTTCTGAGCTGAAACCTACCTGAATCACCCCCGAGGACCCAGGTGGTCACCTTAACCCTCCCTCTCCCAGCCCAAAGCCTTGGGCCACTCCCCCCTTGGCCTTTGCTCCAGACCTCCCACCACCCTGGTCCCTTCTCTAGGCCCAGTCTAGCAGCTCAGGTGCCTGAGGCCTGGGCCCTGGGGCAGTGCTCAGGCCTGCGATCTGGGGAAGCAGTGGGGTGGCTGGCCTCACTCCCGACCGCGGCTCTGCCCCCAAAGTCAAAGGTACCAGCAGTCCAAGGACACACAGGTAGGACCTAGGGGCCACCTCCATTGCAGGGATGAAGGCGGACACTGCGTTCTGCAGGGGGTTGCAGGGATAAAGGGGAACACTGCATTCTGTCTAACGAAGGGGCAGGAGGGTCAGAGCTTCGGACCACCGGGGGCCATATCTTAGGACGTTCGTTTAGAATGCTCTAACCAGTGTTAACAGAGGACTGAATTTCAGCCCCCGTTACTAAGGTGACACCATTTCCTAAGACAGCAGCTGACAGGGTGAGACAGAACACATGAGACCGAAGCCTTTCAGTCAATCCACAACCAGGGCAGATCAGAAAGGGGGGCAGCAGAGTGTCCTTCAGGTTACAGCACCCCAGCCCTGGCCTTGGCCCAGGCGGCCTTGCTTCCTACAGGGGCCCAGAGAACACCTGTGTGTGCTGTGATGGCTGGGCTAGGCTGGCAGACTCCCCAGCCCCACCTCAGAGGCCTACCCTAACTAGCCTCCACCTCAGTACCAACCAAACAAGAAGAAAACGGACCCACGCCAACTGGGAACAGTGCCACCCTGATGAGCTCAAGTTAGGGACGGACCCTAGCCTGCCAACCTCTGACCTCAGGGAAAGCAGGTAGTGACTGTCCTGCTGGAGAGAATGAAGACACCGGCTGGGTTTTCAGTCCTGATTAGCTGGCCTGCAAGGGTGACATCCGACTACAACACCGCGATGACATCACAGGCTGAGCCTCTGTCCAATCAGCACCCACAGCCCCACGACGCCCGGTACCACTCTGAGACCTGCGGGACGATGTCCTACCCTCAAGGAATTTTATGAGGTTCCCTATAAATTAAGTCACTTGGAGTTTTGAAAAGTTGGCAGATTTTATCTTTCTGAAGTCCACTGACGGCGCTGAAGATCTGATACTGAAGGGCCTACGAATAAAGATGAAACTGTCTATGTTGACCTCTGGGGCCAGGACAGAAAAAGGCTAAAACAGAGAAGAGTGGTTCAAAACTATAAACTAGAACAATCTCCAAAATAAGTGAAAAACTGAAGTGCAAAACAATATACCTAGAAGGCTGCTGTCTGTCTAAAAAGCAGGTAAAACAACTGTGAAGGTAACTGCTTACAGGTGCAGAGAAGGCAGACACCAGAAACGAACTCCGGGGAGGGAGAGTTTCTCCCAGGTCATCGTGTGGTACCTTCGGAAATGCAGACCTGCTTCAAAAAGGAGAGGGGGAGCAACTCACCTGGCTGCCGCTTAGCGACCTCTCACCAAAAGCTCTACGGTACAGAACTAGCTCAAGAGAAAACGTCTCACCTGCAAGGACTTTTCTCACAGATTGAAACACAGAGGTAAACACAGACTCCTTCTGGGGGTGCAGTTCTGGGGCTAAAAAGAACAGAGTCAAAAACTGCACAGCTGCCTGGAGAGATGGGGTGTCTCCTGCTAGATCCGGCAACTCCGACAGGATCTGAGAGTAGACAGCCTGGTAGAGGGCGGCATGGGGCAGCAGCACGTGGTCCGTCCCGCCGTGCCCAGAGCACAGGGCCACATCGGCCTCCAAGAGCGAGGCGACCGACGAGAGGACGGGCGGCGGGAGGCGGCGGCCCCGGGCCCCACGGGCGGCGCAGAGCTGGAGCACGGCCCCCGCCTGTACCACAGCCGCCTGCAACAGCTCACGCGGTGCTTCCAGAGCCTCGTGCTGCTCCTGCTCCTTGACCAAAGGCCCCAGCGCCTGGCACAGCTTGGTTAAGGACACCAGAAGGAGCTGCTGGCCCAGAGGTGTCTGATCTTCCGACCGTGTGCCTGGAGCTGCTTCAGGGCGCAGCTGGGAACTCGAGAGGAACGCAAGGATTTTCCCAAAATTGAGCTCCGGGCTGAGCTTCCTCTGGAGGAGCACCTGCAGTGGCTGTTCTAAGAACGTCCCCACCACCTGGAGGAATTCCAGCCAAGAGGGGTCGTCCATGTCCACAAGAAACCTCCTACTGGCTTTGAACAAGGAGGTCAGCGTGATCTCAAAGATATCGCTAACGTACATGACCCTGAGCACCGACTGGGCGCTCTTCCCTCTCTGCAGGTAACCGAGAAGCCGGTAGCACGTCATCAAGAACCTGAGGGTCAGCGAGGGGGAGCAAGAACTGCCCAGCACGGTGCCGGCCAGGGACAGCAGCAGGAGAACACAATGCACGTGGCAGGGGGGCGGGAGGCTGTCCAGCTGCAGAGCAGAAAGAACCTCCAAAAGCCGAAGAATGCTCTCCAGCTGCTCTCCCTCCAGCTGGACGGGGGAGTCACCCCTGGCCAAGGAGAGTAAGTTTTGGGCGATTTCTCCCCTTGGCTCTACACCTTCCGACCTGACCTTTGGAAATCTGCTTTCCCCGTGAGCCACGACCGCATAATCCCCTTCAAAAAGCCAGGGCAGCTGCTGGCGGAGAAGAGCAGGGCCCCCCTGGGCGCCAGCACACAGGATGCCAGCGCAGCTCGCAGTCACGCGCAGTAAGAGCGCAGAGTGGAGGGACTGCATTTCGGGGAGGAGAGGGCTGTGAAGGACGGCCTTCGATATTTCTTCAAGTGTGATGTCTGGCTCCTCCTCCGCCGGGCCTTCCTGGGCTTTGCTCGTTGGCAAAGTTCTTAGCAGGATGTCGGCCAGGTACCGCAGGTCGTCTGGACAAAGATAGGATGCTAAGATCGTGAGATTGGACATGACCAAGTGCCAGTGGGCGACGGGGTAGGTGAGCGCACTCACTGTCCCCACCTGGCCGTCCCAGGAGGCCGTCGTCCCCCGGGACAGGCTCGCTCTCCCGGAGCCCAGGATGTAGGCGGCATCGCGCCTCAGAGCAAGGAGGGCTTCTTCAGACTGGACGCTCGCTTGCAGCAAGGTGTTTTTCATCCTCTGCAGGTGGAGCTGCTCCAAGCAGTACCTGCCGAGGGAGTTGGACTGAGCCGCAAACTCCTCTATCTCCTTCCACTGCCTGGCCTCCACGCCCGGGAGCAGCGGGGGGAGGCTCGAGGGCTCCGGGGCGGTGCCCGCGAGGGCCCCGGGCTCAGAGCGATACGGGTCGCAGCTCAAGCCCAGCACAGTGTCCACCTGGGCCCAGGTGTGGGCGAGCAGGAGCGCAGAGTCACCGACCCTCTGTTGCCAGGGCTCGGGCACCGAGGGCTGGGGCTTGCAGAGGAGGTCCAGCAGGGGCTTCACGAGGCCCCGCAGCGTCTCGTCCATGGTGCGCCGCGTGCGCCTGACCACGGGCAGGGGCGAGTCGCCATCCAGGCTCCGCGCGTGGACCATGACGCAGTGCAGCAGCGAGCTCAGTGACAGCGACTTCAGGGCCATGTCCATGTCACCCTGCAAATCAGGCAGGACCAGAGACTGGAAGCTCTCCAGGATGAGGGCCCAGGCGTCCAGGACCTGGCTCGGGGGCAGATCTGGGAGGCACTCGCGAAGCACAGCAGCGGGGCCCGCAGACAGCACGGGCAGCCTGAGCGCCTCGGCCGCGGGGCGACAGATCACGCCCAGCACCTCCCCGAACAGCCGGGGCACCTGCCGGAGCTTGGCGAACGTCTGGAAGAGTGTACCGATCAGCGCCTCCTGGGCTTTCTGGGTCCGCGACTCTGCGACTTCTGCGTCGATCCAAGCTGAAGCCAACAGGTCGTCCAGGTCTGGCTCCAGAATCAAATGATTCAGAGACAGCAAAGCCTTGAGGCAGCGGAACCAGGCTGGCACGGGGGCCTGTGGGTGGTTTAGCAGCGTCTCGGCCAGACGGCGGTAGAAGCGGAACTGAGTCTCCCCGTGCCGAATCCGGTCAGTGGCAATGTTGTAGATAGTACTACTGGCCACTGAATTTAGCAGCTGTTCCAAGGCCAGGAGTTCCACGGTCCAGTCAGACGCAGACAGGGCTTGCAGCTGCTCCTCCCGCAGGTGGGAAATCCTTAAGCAACCGAACAGCGGAGGGAGCACCTTGAAGCAGAGCAGCTGGTTCCCCTCCTTGAGGTAAGAATCTACAAAGAGCTTGTACAGCAGGGCCACGGAGTTGGCCACCACAGCAGCCTGAAGGGACGGTTCACAGTAGCCGGCATCCACCAGCCTGGCCGTCACGGTGCCCAGGGGCGCTAGGAGATTCTTCATGGCCCCCATCTTCGTGTCACCTTGCTGCTGCTCCAAGAGCTCCTCTTTGTAGGAAGGGAGCAGCTCGGCCTGAAAAGCTCCACCTCGAAGCACGGCCTCGATCTGACTCCTAATGTCCCGGCCTAGCGCCGGCCGCAGCAGGCCCTGGCCAGCCTGGGTCCACGTGCCTGCCAAGAGTAAGTGTCTCAGGACCAGGCAGGGCTGGAGCAAGTGTGTGGTCACCTCCCCAAAGGTGCGTCTTGGGTTGACCTGCTGCCGCTGAATCGAGAGGTAAAGGCCGAGGGTCAGGTGAAGAACCTCGAACAACTGGGGCATCACGGCTCCCGGCTGCCTACAGGCCAACCAGCACAGCTGGCTCAGCAGGTCGACCGTCAGCTCCTGCCTGGCCGTGTAGATGACAGCAAGGGCGGGTGTCGAGAGGATACCCTGGCAGCAGCTCAGCACAACACAGATGCTCCTCTGAGATCCCAAGAGAGCAAACTCGGCCATTCTCTCATTGATGATCTGACCATTAAGAAAGAAAGAAAACTCATCACTGACCCTAAACCCACACGTACACACAAAAAATACAACACAATCAGTGAACTCACTCCTTGCCCTCATCTGAATGAGAGAAATGCCCAGATTCGCACATCTAAATGAACTTGGCATTTCCTTAGTGCACCAAAGGAAGGCAGAGGACCTGTCTTAACTCCTACACACATCCATCTGCTACCAGTATAAACTTGGGAAGGGGCTCAGTGCCTTTGTAAATTTGCTGTCCCTTTTTAAAGAGCAGAGTTTTATAAGGCTTAAACTTCTAAGATTTCACTTTTTCTTAGATCCTAAACCTATAATTCAACTTAGATGCTACAGGTAGATGGACAGTGGCCTTGGGTTATGATCCTGTGGTCCAAAACACATTTTTATAATCAGTCATACTGTTTGTATTTAAAAAGCCAAAGCAAAAGGCATTCTTAAAAGAGGAAAGTAAACGCTGCCAGCTACTACTTAACATACAGCAAACCCACAGTCTATTGCTTCCAAAATTCTGAAATTCACAAGCACCAGAAATTATGAGGGCCAGACAGGTTCCAAAGTTCACTTATAGGCTAAGTGACTTGCTCCCAGCCTTACAGCATCTGAGAATCAAATTTATCCTAGGTGTTAAGTTAGCAGTAGCCCAAGGACACAGGTGTGTTTATCTCCATCCGAGTAACTGCTGGCTCTGGAAAAGCCGAAACAAAGATATCACATACTTAAATGCCAGCACACTTACTAGAGTGATCTCCAAATTTTTCTGATTATACAACTTTTTCCACACTTATACCCGATAAAGTTATAAATTATATGTATGCACTATAGCACTAGTATCTTATATAATTATAAAGCATACATAGAAATTAAAGTGACTTTTTAAAAAACATATAGAGATGTAAGATTTTCTTCCCACACTCCCAAAGAACCATTCAGAATAACCCACTTTGGTGACCACTGGTCTATCATTTTAAAAAGTGACACAATTTAGAGCATAATTTCAAGAACCACTAAAGCCTACGAACCATCAGGCATCAACCATTTAATTCTTCTGTTCCCAGCCTCTACTGCTTTTCTCCTGCGCACACGCTCATGTGGGTGAGGCTGCAGCGTAGAGCGCGGGCTTTGCCATCAGACAGATGGAGGTTCAAATCCCAGCTCTGCCACTTACTTTCTGTGTGACTTTCGGCAGGTTACCTGGCCCACGCTCAGTACTCCTTATTTGTGCTTTTTATTGTCACCGGCTATTCTCACAGTATTTCAAAATACTCAATACTGACAGTGAAGTTTATAATCCCGACCTGAGACTTCAAAATCACGGAGCCAAAAACCTTTGAGGAAATTCTCATCCAGATTTTGGCCTTTGACCTCCCTCCAGTCCAGCAGAAAGGTGAAAAAAAAAAGTCATAAAGTAGCATCATTTGCTGGCTACCTTTTCCAACTAAAAAGGTAATTAACCACTTTACGAAAAAGTTCTAAGCTTTTCATAATATAAAGTGCTTAGCACGGTGTAGCGCATACAATATGCATTCAATAAATATCAGTCGTTATTATAACTCTAAAAATATTATTTCTTTCTCCTCCCCTACTTCGATATTGTCTGTATCTTCATATCATTAACCGTAAGACAAATAAGCCTCCAGCATTAACAGGAAATCAATAGAGATACGTGTAACACTTATAGGATAACACAGGAAACTGTTAATTACCTTGAGGAGGGAAATCTGAAGGTTAATTGTCTTTCCATTCTTGAGGAGATTCTGCAATTTTCTGCTATGTAGAATGTTATCCATATAGATCCAAAGCCTTTCGACAATGTCTTCCGTCAGTTCAAGTTTTTTCTTATAAAACGCAACCAACGACTGTCGTGCCCAATCAAGTAATACCTGAATTTGGAATATACTTTAAAAATAAACGAATAACCAAATACAATTGCCAGGGGGGAAAAACTCTCCTTTAAAACTTATCTTTGGTAACATTATATTACATTTTGGTGTCTTAAAATATTTATTATTAAAGAATCAATCAAAAAAACTAAGTGTGTCTTCATCTGGGGCCAATAAAAAGTTTCAAGAGAAACCGGTTTCTTCTAACTAATTGCTTCCAAGTTTTACAAGTTAAAAGCACAACAACAATTGCTCAGAATGGCCACAAAAGGAATGACACACAAAAGCAAAAATGCAGAGTCAGAAGACCAGGGTTTGTGTCCTGGCTTCCCGAGTTAACTGCAGCTTCATCCCGAAACCTATTTACCCTGTTCAGAAGACAGACAGTCTTCTATGAAATGATTCACAAGTGCTGTATTAAAAGGAGGGCTGGACATAAACAGTTTCCATTATTGTGACGTGTTTCCTTATTCATAAACACAAGGAAAAGTGGTGAGGCTTCAGCTCAGGACACCAGAACTGTCAATAACAACACGAATAGTGACAAACGCTAAAAGGAAAAAACTCTCTCTGGAGAAGGGTAGTGGAAACCTTGATGAAATTGCCTGCCACGGCTGCCAGGTCAAACAAACAAAATGATTCTCAGGTGCAGCCAGATTTAGAAACGACTAGCTCTGCTAGTGCTCTACATACTGGACCTCATCATTTCAATGGCTGTAATCCACCTGACACATTTTGTGCTGCTTAATACTAGCAAATGAGTATCTAACTGCATGAGCTCATCATCCCGGTGTCTCCATTGTATTAACTGCTTTTCTTAGTCAGATAAGCTTGAGAAATGTTAACAAAGAGCTATGTCTTTCTTGGTTCCTAATCTGTTTCTAATCTATCGGTTTCTAATCTATTTCCCCTCAGTTTACTACAAATGCTAAAGCTTCCCTACTTCCAGCCTTCGATTCATCAAGTTCCAAAGACATTTAACAAAGCACCAACAAGAATTGCTTATGGAGCATCACTTAGGATTTACAAACAAATGAAGCTGCCAACAGACTCAGAACTTAACTTCTGTAACCTAAATCCTAATTTGCTCACTGATGCACATATTTAATTCAGAATATAAGAGATGTTTCCAAACATAAACGAAATGCTGAGGTTTTGTAACAGAAAAACTTTGTTAATATAATACCTAACTACTTACTTTATCTCACTGATAGGACTTTTAACTTTCTAACCATGTTTCCCTTCCCCAACCTTTAATCTTTTTAAATTTTAACTAAATGTCAATATGCAATTTACATAAGTGATCATTAGTTTAGGTTGTAGAAATGTAACTTTCACATTAAACTTACTTGTTCTTTATTTGGAAGAACACACTGATGGGAAATCCAGGCAAAGTGCGCTAGTTTTAGTTTATCTTCCCAGGAAGTTGTCTTGCTTTTAAGTTTTAGAGAAATGCCAGAATAAACAGCAGCCATTGCTGCGCTTTACCTACAATTTAAAGCAATGGAAAAAATTTATATTTTTTTAATATAAAGGACCAGAATATTAAGGTCAAACTTAATAGGCAGCAGAAAATGAACACTATGTACCTTATTGTCTACATAACTTATACTCCTTTAAAAATATTTTTCTAATGAATTAAACACTGTTGGGCAGAAGTTTATACATAAGATGCTTGAGTCCATGAGTTTCTTGGAGGAAATTCAAACAGACGATGGATTACACACACACATACAAGTATTCCTGCTGTGATCAAACATCACATCCTCAGAGGTCAGTGCGCAGGAATTCAATGGAACAAAACCCAAAGTGTTCAAATTACTTGTGAAAAGATTCGTTCACACATGGTTTTAGACTGAAAGAGTTTTTTCTGCAAAAATATTCTAATACATACTATAGAGTATATACTAGGACCCACCCCACTGAACAGTTTAAAAAGATAAATAGGGCTTCCCTGGTGGCGCAGTCGTTGAGAATCTGCCAGCTAATGCAGGGGACACGGGTTCGAGTCCTGGTCTGGGAGGATCCCACATGCTGCGGAGCAACTAGGCCCGTGAGCCACAACTACTGAGCCTGCGCATCTGGAGCCTGTGCTCCGCAACAAAAGAGGCCGCGATAGTGAGAGGCCCGCGCACCGCGATGAAGAGTGGCCCCCGCTTGCCACAACTAGAGAAAGCCCTTGCACAGAAACGAAGACCCAACACAGCAATAATTAATTAATTAATAAACTCCTACCCCCCAACATCATCTTTAAAAAAAAAAAAGATAAATAAACAGTATTTGGAAATAGTACAAGTACAAAAGAATATATAGTGTGTTCTTATACAAAAGAAATATAGTATAAACCCAGTCCCAACAGATAGAATGTTTTTTCACCTGCAACAGTAACTTCATAAACTTACCAACACACACTGCTTCTAAGACTCTACAGAATATAGTTACATGATTAACGCTGGAAGGATACAATTATGAATAAAGAAGGAACACAAACATACCAGCCACCTATAATCCTATAAAACTGAGGTAAATGTAGCTTAGAGTTTCCTAAAAGCCAAAGTAAAAAGGGGAGAACATATCAGGTTAAGTCATTTTCATTACATAAAAGTAAACAAGTCAGTTCCTCAAGGGAGAAAGTTTTTCATGATACTTAATACTGAAATAAAATTATCGTAAATAACAAAATAGGGCCAATGAAATACCGAGAAAAGATCGCAGCCCCGTGATTCCAATTTAAATACTGTCAAACCAAAACAATTTGCTATCCTGAGAACTGGATCGCTGGATTTTTAAAATCTAAGGGGTCTGAAATCCTATAGACCTACCTTCAGAGCTAATTCTCAATAGGGATCTTTACAGGGAATGAGCGAACATCGGATGAAAGACAGGTTCAGCACGGTACCCTTCACTATTTCAGAGGCTAGAACAGTCAAATGCTGTCAGTCTTCCTCTTTGTCGAAACGTCCAATATCCATTCAACAGCTACAATTTAACTTCTAAATTCAATGTTATACAGCCATGGCGACAGCTACAAAGTACTTTAAAAGTATCTGCAGAACTGGCTACAAAGACGCCCCATACACCCTCCCGGATCTGTCAACCTTGGGCCCTCGGTGCCCGCAGCGATCCCTGCGAGCGGGCGTGGAAAGCCTGGTGCGGACCGCAAAGCCCCGTCCGTCCTCGCGCGGCCACGCTAAACCCTGCGGAACAGAAGGAAGCGAGCAGCCAGGAGCGAGGCGAGGGGCCGCCGGAGGAGCAAGCCAGCGTGGGAGGACCATGCCCAGGTAGGGAGCTCACCTGGAGGGACCTGGTCACCTGGGAAGGACCGCGGGCGGGGCGGAGGGTCGGCTGGGAGGGGGCTCACCTGCAGGCCGCCCCCAGGTGAGGAACTCACGCAGACCCCGCCGTGAGGGGCGGCGGGCGGGGCGGAGAGCAGTCACCGGGTGGGGAGCTCTCCCGGCGGCCAGCCCCGGATGGGGACCGCGCAGGGACGAACGGCCGCAGCACCGGCGGGACCGACTCCGGGGCCACCACGTGGGGGATCGCGCTCCTTCCTCCGGACTCCGGCTGCGCTGGCAGCTGCGGGGCGGTGCTGGACCGGGCGGAAGGAACGTGGGGCGGGACGGCTCGCACGCCAGGCATCGCCAGCCGAGCGCCGAGGCGCCGCGCCCATTGGCGGAGACGGTCGCGCGTCGAGGCCCGAGCGGCCCGGCCCAGCCCGCGGCGGCTCCGCGTCAATCAGTCATGGGGCTGCAGCCCAGAGCCGCCGCGGGGGCGGCGGGGCACTGGGCGCGGGGGCCCGGCTGAGCCGGCCGCGGAGCGCGAGCCTGCCGCGGAGACGACGGAGGCGGACGCGGGGCGACCCCGGCGGCGGCGGGGGGAGCGGGAGCCGCCTGGGATGTTCAGTGAGTGCGGGCGGCGGGCCGAGGGCGCGGGCGGCAGCGCAGGCGGCAGCGCGGCCTGGGCGGTGGGGGCGGGGCGAGCGGGCGGCACCGCCTGGAGGCCCGGAGCGCGGGCCCGGCCTCCTCTTCATTTACGGGAGAGGGAAGTGTCTGTGGGCCGAAGTCGGGATGAAACTTGGCGCAGGGTGGCGGGGAGGACGCGGGCGAGCGCGGCGATGCCCACCTGCAAGGGCGCCCGCAAGGCGGCCGCGCCCCTGACAGCCGCGTACGGGGTGCGCGCCGCGGAGCCCCGAGGCCCTGAGCGCCCGGGCGCGACGTGGGCGGGGGAGCCGAGGGTGAGGGACCGGGTGTCCTAGGAGGCTCAGCGGAAGTGCTGCCCTCCCGACAGCGGTGAGAGCGCCCTGGGCTCGTGCCCCGCGGCGGCAGGCTGGAAGCGCTGATCTCTGACCTTGCAGGTGGAGGTCTAGGAAGGGAGACCCGGCTGGCAGGAATCGGGGCTGCGCTGGGAGGGGCGCGCGGACAGGGGCCGTCTACTATTAGGTGACCTAGCGCTGCGGGGTAGGGCGGACACGGTGGCCGCCCCGGTCTGGGTCCCAGCTCTGCTTGAGGGTGGGAGTAGGAAGAGGAGTTTGGAGCCATAGCTTTACACTCGGAGAAGCTTCATGGAGCGGAGGGGGCTTGGTGACTACATCGGCCTCAGGTCGAAACCATGTAACTACTATCTGTAACCTCTCGGAGCCTTCGTTTCCTCTTCAGTAAAATGGGGTAATGACTGATAAACTGGACCTTTTACAGGATACCCAAAAAAGGATTAATGAATGTGAAAATGCCTGACAAGTGGGAAGTGTTCTGTAAATACTAGTTATCAGCTATTACAATTTCTTTTTTTGACAGAGAATACTTTCTAGGTTCCTCTTAGGCCTAAAGTTTTTGCGTTAAATGTAATTTTGATTTTTGTCAATTATAAATCATTCCTGCCTTAAAAATCAGTGTTAAATTGGCAAACCAAAAAATGGGCTTGCCTTGACCATTTTTTTGTTTGTGTTTTGTCATCAACAGTAAAGCAGATTTGTGTGTTTTGGAATAGTTTTGTTGCTTCTGCCTCTGAATGTGTGAGATTTGTTTGGTTCTATCACTGTGGAACTAGGTAAAGGCTCCTCTTAACTATTCAGTCACTGGTTTTTTGGTTTTACTTTCGCAAACAGATGTCCTTCATAATACCTATGAAGGACATCTCTGGAGAAAGGGCTGTTGTTTGTTTTGTTTATTTGATGATTCGTTTTAGCTGGAAGGGAGCCCCGGGGGCGCTCTGTTAAACCAGCATTACCCAGTGGACAGTGCTAGAAACCGTTTCTAGCCTCTCCATGTGACAGACAGACAGCTTCTCAGGTAGTAACTGTTGTGATCACTCTCTCAACGAGCATTTGGTAAGCTTTCACTGTTGTGTTTCCCGAGAGAAGCCTTTGAGCAGCAAGACACTGTAAAAGGTAAGAGCTCAGACCATGCAGCCAGGTGGCCCAAGCTCCCCTCCTGGCACCATGGACCCTTGGGCACCTGTCTGACTTCTTTGAGCCTCAGCTTTCTTATCTGAAGAATGCTCCCTAGCTTTTAGGGTTCTCGGGAGGCGTAAACGAGATAGTCTACGTAAAGCACTTAAAATAGTATCTTACCTGTGATGTACACTCAGTAAGTGCCAGGTATTAGTAGTGGTGGTGTAGGAAACAAATAGTATGGTGATTCCTGTGATAGAGGTTTGTTCCTGGGTTTGGTGGGTGGAAGGAATCAGGCTCAAGGAAGCTTTGGGGAGGAAGAAGTGGCCAGGCTAGGCTGTGAAGCATGAGTGGGAGTTAGCGAAACCAGCTAGGAGTGCCATTTTGACCAAAGCCCCTAAGGCGAGAAGGCCTTGTGGTACCCACCTGTTTTGTAAACAAAGGCAGATAAGAGTAACCTCAGGGTGACACAGTGGAGATGATTTTTTTTATCCTCCACACTGGTGAAGGAAGGAGAAAGTTTTTAAGCTGAGCACAGATGGCGTCAGATTAGCCGTTTGGAAAGATTGTGCCTGTAGTGGTGTGGGATTAAAAGTAGGGAAGGCCCAGCCACTTGTCCTGGCAGCTTTGTGTCTGCCTGAGACTCCAAAAGGAAAATGGCTGCTTCGCAGAGGCAGGCACTTGAATCCAAATCCGGAAGCCTAAAGAGCACTCTGAGAAGGCATGAGGAAACCAGATCATTCCAGGCCACCTTCTCTCTTAAAAAGCGTCTTCAAGGATGTACTGTATATGCCTGACTACTAGGCAGGATTCCCCCCAGAGTATCCCTCTGAAAAGAGGGTGGTACCACATGTTTAAGTCTCTCCTGTTACAGGCACTGTAATTACTCTTTCCAACAACAAGATGCTGTTTGGGAAATACATATTGGACTGAAACAATCTCAGTCATTGCTAGTTCGGGATATTTATACCACCAATGTATCAACAGTAAGTGATACATTTGAAAAGTTCTGCCACCTGAATCGGTATTGATGGCTTGCGTTGAGATTTCCAGCGAGAGCATCAAGTGCTGTATCATAGATGATTTGGTAGGAGCGAAGATGGTGTGTTCTGGAAAATGGAATTTGATGATTCAGAGTGGCTTCAGTGACTACAGAGACGCTGGTGTTGAAGATGTAAGTGAATAGTTGGCGTAAAATTGTTTCATGAATTAATGTGTTGCCTTCTATATTTTAAAATACATGGAAGTTAATAAATTAAAGATTATAAGCAGACATTTGACTAATTGATCTGCAGTCCTAAAGGGTTTTTTTCTAGTTTAAGTTAGCCAAAAATTTTTCTTTTTTAATTTTCTCATTGCAGGGGTAAAGTTGTCTCAGGTTCGAGCTCGCCTTTTATGTGAACATTTTACAGAAAGTAACTGCTGCTCTGTTTGTCTACTGAAACAAATTCCTTTCCCCGTCTCATTTTTTAACTTCAAGAAGGTTTCAAGAATGTTGTGTACTGGCAAGTTTTAGAAAACACTATAGAAAACTCCCATTCATAAATCTTTGTTTAGCAGTCAAAGAAGATCTCTTTCTGGTAAGATGTATGTAAATGTATATATATCTTAGTAGCCTTAGAGTGTTTGATAGTAATAAAAAGTTAGCTCCATTTTTACTAACAAAATACTAATTTTTGGAGATTTGGCAATTTAGGAATCAGAAGTGTTTTGCAAGACTTTGTGCATTGCCATTTTTAAGTCAAGGCACTGCTGCTTTAGTTTCACAAAGTAATGCCATGCTCTGGAACTGTGTTATCCAATACAGAAAGCACGAGCCATGTGTGGTTGCTTACATTTTACTTAATGAAAATTAAAAATTCAATTCTTCAGCTGCGTTAGCCACATTTTAATTGCTAGATAGCCCTTTGTGGCTGGTGGCTACCACACTGAACAGTGCAGACCTAGAACATTTCCTTCATTGCAGGAAGTCCTATGGGCAGTACTACTCTAGAATAAAAAGTGATCCGGCTGCTCTGTGAGACACACACACATAAAGGATTCGGTGTCATTAAAGCATCTCCAAAACCTCACTTGCTGCATTTGAATTCCATTTCAGGGAGAATGATAAACATAGGAAACCATATCCCCCTTATTCTGAGAGCACAGCATCCTGTTTCTTCTGTCTACAGTGCTTGTAAATGGAGCCCACGTGAAAGGTATTCTTCATGACGTAAGACATGGTAAATGTAGGTAGCCGTTCTATAAATTTGAAGTAAGCATCAAATATTTGTGGCTTTCTTGGTTCATAAAAATCCAGAGAAATCATGTGCCTGAAGTAAACCGTCAAGAATTCCAAGCAGAAGCTAGATGACACTCACTTTACTTTTAATGTGAATTTCAAAGATAAAAGCCCTGTTCTAGGGAACTCTCCATCTGGGGGGGAACTAGAGAACAGTGATGGCAGGAGTGGGCAGTCTGCATGGGGTGCAGAGGGTGATTTTAAGCATGGCAGTAGCATAGTCAGTCTTTTTGTCTGGCTGCATTCAAAAGGGTGTTTGAGGTTGGCCTAGAGTAGTAGGAGGACATTGCAATAGTCCAGGTGAGAAGTGATTTGTGCTGTCAGATCGCAGCAGTGAGGATATGGTAGCACAATGGCTCCAAGAGAGTCCTGTTTAGAATAAAGAGTTGATGGCCATTTAGAAGTGAGGGGGAGGGAGATAGAGAAAAGCGTCTTAAGATGACAGTTTTCATTTGATTGGTTGGTTTTGGTTGTGGTTTTCTCTGTTGGTGGATGGTGGCACCATTAAGCTGGCTGGGAAAACTAGGAAAAGGAAGACGTATGGAAGGAAGAGAATTTGAGCACATCGAATTTCAGATGTTTGCAGCGTCCAGGTAGAGAAGTC